GTAATAGTACCCTCATTAACGAATGTTCCGTAAGGTTGTATAGCAAATGTCGAACCACCGGTATTACCGATTCCCGCAAACCATACATTACCGTAGTTGTAGAAAGAACCACCATAATAATCAAAAGTAGGAGCCGATGTACCATTCAAATCATTGAGAACAATGTCCCCATTATTTGTGAGCACATTAGATGTTCCAATATAATCACAAGTCAACCCTGAGTAGTGATTTTTGTCACTAATGTAGAGCATCCCATTGACGGTTAAATCACCATAGAAGTTGTGAGTGTAACCAGAGTCGATTGCTAAGTAGACTCCTTCGTCAATAATATAGTCTGAAGTATAGAGAGTATCACCAGTACTTATGAGAGTATTGGAGGATATCTCAACCGTAGCAGCATTGACCTTGGTCAAAACAAATAACCCTAAAGGTGTCAAGGATCTGAAGAGCATCTTACTTTCAGTATTTTTCCTATTCCTTTCATTTTTGGCATTAACAATATGCCTTTTATATTGCAAAAAAAGAATTGGCGAAATACGGGTTTGTCTGAATGCATAGTATCGCCTATGCCCGAAAAGAAGCATCTTGATATTTTTATGTATGCTTCCTCCATGAGCCCTCTGGCTTTGTCTTACATCTATTCAAGCCCAGCTGCAAAATAATTGAGGTACTTTTTAAAAGTTCTCTTGTGAAACAAGTTTGCTCAAAGTATTATGCCGACAAAAGTGAAATGGCATGGTGTAGTGAAATGGTCGAAATATATGAGCCCTTTCTCTTAAATCTTAAGTGCTCATCATATTCAAAGCCAGTGCTCTACTAGTGTGTCAAATTAAACTATTATTACTCGTCTGTAACTAGGGTTAAAGTAATCTTTAAAGGTGCATACTTGCAACAATGGCTAGGGTAAGATAAAATTCGCCAGTAGATTTCAAATTGGAATGATTCTTCCAGAGCAAGATATTGCTGCATGAATTTAGCATTTATTTTTTTTACCATCGTACCTTGTGACATAAAATAAGTAATCTTGCATCAATCGTAGTCGTAAAAAATATTCGCGAGTTGGTACCTTTCAAAAGGAAAAAAGCATTTCTCGTCAGATCTCGTAAATATGGACCTACTCGCCTTGTATATATACGCCATCGGAATGGGTAACTTTAAGGATCGTTTCACATTTCAACTTTTTGATGATGTGCCCATTGATATCTCAAAGTAGATCTCTTCTTCCTCATCTTGCTTGTGTAGGTTATATCATACGTGAGGGATTTAGAAAGGTTTGATTAAAAATCTTCTTACCAACACAGATTGTATTGGCTTAATCTTTTTCTGGCTAATGTGAAGTCATCAGAAGGATTCGCATATGCATAGCGTGTACATACACATGCAAAGAATATTTTCTAAAAAATTACACTTCAACTTCGCCTAAAATGAATTGTTTGTATTTGGCGTCACCGGAAGATACAAAACAAGGTATGAGTTTACATTACAGATGCCGCAAAAAAATAACTAGTTACCTTCATTTGGAATCACTAATTTAAAGAATTACTAGCTGAAAACCCCCCAATTGAATTGCTCATCCTCCTTTTGCTGCAATTTTGGCACCATTGTGCAGATGGCATTCTTAAATTATACGATTTATTGAGCCCATTTCTTTATATGGCCCCTTTCACGAAGAAATACTCTCTCCAAAATCGTACTTCTCCGGTGAACTTCGTAACTTACTCGTATAGATGAAGGGCGTTGAACTATTTTGAAATCGTCATTTCAATTACGCAATTGAGTCGAACTTTACTTTAGTTTTCCTAAAATCTAGCATATAAAGGGTTTTGGAATCTAAATGTTTAATAATATAAGTAAATATAGCGGTAGAATCTAATGGAATAGAGTAATCTCTCCTCAAATTTTCAACGCCTCTTTGACTAAAAGGGTCTGGATAAAATAAATCTATAATATGATACTCGAATGAACAAGAAGCCCAAGATAAATATTGATGTACACCTTTTAATGAAGAGATTTAATGTATAAAATCGACATTGAAAAGAAATCATGGATAAAAGATGAAGTAAGTTTAAAGTTTATTTAAATGAACAATAAAAGCCATTATCAGCTGTCAATGGAATGTTTAAGGGTATGGGTGCTTTGCTTCCAAATCAGCTCTAATTGATGATAATGTTGAAGAGTTAAACTATAATAGCTCCTGGTAAGTATTTCACCTTTGCATTGAATAAATCACTTAAATAGCTTCTCTATTTCATCGATCATATGAATCTTCACGTCTGATGAAAATAGAATTGCAAAATACGACACATTAAATATTATTTTCTAAGCTTCTGCAATTTCGGGGCTTCAATTGTCAAATATGGGTCTGAACAGAATTCAGACCGCATAACATGCTATTTTCCAAAAATCAAAACTCTTCAACAGCTTTTTAATAGCTTAGAATCGTTTAAGCAAATTATGATACTGCATTATTATCAAGTCGAAAGGTTTGAATGTGGCTCGTATTTCTTACAAGGGTTCCATGCGCTAACCCTATTAGGAAGGTGTTTGCGCTCGCCAACATAGGGAATATTTTGATATAAAAAGTCTGGGGAATGGCTCACTTGTAGATACATTTTATTGCTTCGCTAATTTATCATTGATACATTGCTATGTCGGTTACTATAAGAAAAATCCAAGAGGGAGATAAAGAAGAATGGACCAATCTTTGGTCTGGTGCTGGGGGCTACCTTGAATTTTATAAATCCACTGTTCCTGAGAAAGTTACCGAAACTACTTTCAAGAGATTTTTTGATGATAAGGATCCGGTCTACTCTGCAGTCGCAGTTGACGATTCTACTGGGAAGATTATCGGATTTGCAAATTATCTTACCCATAGGAACACTTGGACCATTGGTGATTCCTTATACTTAAATGATCTTTTTGTCAGCAATGACTGCAGATTGAAAGGGACTGGTAGAAAGTTAGTTGAGTTCGTTTACACTGAAGCTGACAAATTTGGCTGCGAAAATACTTACTGGCATACACAGTTTGAAAACCATAGAGCTCAATTACTTTATACAAAGGTCGGATACAAGGCAGGATTCTTGGTTTACAAGAGACCAAAGGAATAGTTATACTTAAATATACAAGTTTTTCTGAATGAATTATTATATGTAATTGAGGATTAGTCGGTGTACCTTTGGTTGCTGATACTTCTCTCGTACATGTCATTACAAGTTATATTCTTTTTACCAACACACCTTTCGATGCAGTTTTTAAGTAGTTTGGAGTACTCTCGACCTATTTCCCAATTAGATCTTCGATAGCTTTCATAAAATAGCAGCAATAATCCAGCTATGTGGTTCGTATTTTTGATATTTTGTAGCTCTTTCTCGTAAGTTTTGATTAAACTGTTGTACGGTTCATTGACTTTGCCCTTCACTTTTTTGAATGCACGACGAATCCTTTTCAAATATGAGTATCCATCCTCTCTATAAATCATAGGATCCTCCTCAGTACTTTCTGGACCATATAATGAATAATTATAGGCAAATATAACTAGAACTGCGCTTATAATAATATTCTTTCTATGTAAAAATGGATCAAGATTGGGATCATAAGCGTATAGTAAGTCATCTGAGCCTTTTTCAAGTAGCATTTCAAAAAGAAAAAGGTAAGCATGAATCACACTTATTCTGCCATTTAAGTTCTTAGACCATTCGAGTACTCTTTTGGTGACTGCTAAATATTCCTCCTCTCTAACAGGTACATTCATTCTACTAGGAGCACCAGCATAAATGATATAATCGTAATGGGTTATTCGCAAATATATTTGTGAAATATGGTAAATGCTGAACTTACACCTCCTATCATTTGATCTAAGCATTGTTGGGATTAATTTCAATTCGTCACTTTCTTCATCAAAGTCACCTCCAGCAATTTTGACACTTTTATTATACAATGAATTTGTCGTAATGCAGCAGTCATCATTGCATATCTCCTTTCTCCAATAATCAATGCCCAACGATATTGTGTCTTTCCAAGTTTCCTGCAATGCTTCCCATTCATTATTGCTTAACCTAAGATCCTTTTGCAGCATCTGAAACATTATTGAAAGTAAACCACCCAATAAGATTTTCTTTCCAAATGAAGAAGTTTCCACTTTTTGTTTCTTGAGTATTTTCCGTAAAGCTAAATGAAATTTGGGAGTTTGAAGTTGAGGAAGTAAGCCGTTTGATGCTGTAAGCCCCAGTTTATTAAATTCCCATAATTCATCTTCACAAGGCAAAGATAAGTGAATTTGATGTGCGTACAAAATAACCAGATGCCCGTATATAGTTGCATGTATAATATCCAAATAAAATGCCATAAAGGTAGCCCTTTTCATAGATTCATTCCCAATCCATCTTTTCCACATGTTGTCTTTACTTGCATATGAATTACTTTCATTAGTTTGATTGATTTGGTCTTCCTTTTCTTCATTTTTTGGATCTCCTCCCAAAATTGGACTTCTACGGAGTAACTGGATTTTAGTTCCATGATATATATATGCTCGTTCATGCAATTCTCTAGAAGAACTAGTTATCTCATAGCATTCCAATAGTAAAAGACATTGTATTATCCAGACGTTCGCAGGTGGTTTGCAAGACGGGTTGGCAAATATTAGCCATCGTAATGGTTCTGCAATCTGGTCTGCCAATTGGTGAGGATTAACAAATTCTTCCTTTAAATGTGGTAAGCAATAGGTCAAACTTGCACCGTGAATTACCATGCATAATAATAATAAAGGGTTGCAATCAGTAGTGGAAAATGAAGGTCTATGAAGAATTGGATATTGTGGATGGTATACATTCCAATATACCTCTAAAAATGTTTCCACTTGGCTCACTCCAAAGTCAGGATGCGAGCTAATGGCTGGGATTAATTGCTTTAAAGGATCTAAAATAGAATTATCGACATGTTTGCTTTCTACTAACTTAGGGAAATTAGGTGAATTTGCGAACAACTTTTCCAATTCTGACAATGGAGAATACCCATTTTGTAACTCTGAAGAAAAAGTTGGATGAATACCAACAACGCCTCCCACATGATTCATGTTTTGATTTAAACTTTCATCAAGAAAGAATAATTCAATTAGATTTGAAGGTGATAAGTATGTAGATATTCCTTGTCTCTCGTTATCTGATTCTAATCCTAGATGTCCATTGGAGTTCGTTCCAAATTTAGAGCTTGAGTCCACAATGGAAATATTTTCATTTACGTCTTTATTAATGTTACTGATAACATCATCGGAAGGCGATTTCTCCAATTCCAAAAGTACGCTGGCATTTAAAGCACTCTGATCCTGGCGATTTTTATCAGTAATGCCTGCTCCATTATGAAAATTTTCCAAGTAATGAACTTCCGTACTCAAGTCAGCGTGCCTTTTCAAATGCTTTGATCTTGCATCACTTCTTGTAAATGACTGTTCACATCCTGGCCAATTACAATATAATTTCTTCTTCGGGTCATGAGATTTTTCATGTCTTCTCAAATGATCTAAACGATTCAAGACTTTTCCACAATTGACGATGCTACACGTATACTGGCCCTTATTCCTGTTTCTCCTCTTTGCTTCCAATCTCTGTCTTTCGTTATCTGATTCAATTCCTACATCACTGTTCATTGGGGTAGAACTAGAGGTTGAATTCTTGGAATATTCATCATTGATTTCAGCATTAGCATTGGAAAATGCCTCACCTGAGGATGGTTTTCCCATCGATAGTTCCCTACTAAACGCACTTTGATTCTCAACTACATCCAATGCACTTTCTGCGTTGCTTTTTGTTCCACTAGTTGCACTCTCAAAGAAATGAACTCCAGTTCCCAAGTCAGAATGCTTTTTTCTGTGTTTTGACTTTGCATCACTTCCTATAAACCATTGCTTACATCCGGGCCAGTCACAGTATAGTCTCTCTTTTGAATCATGAGTTCGTTCATGTCTTTTCAAATGGTCTAACCGACTCAAGACCTTACCGCAACTACCAAAAGAACATGCATACTGGCCCGTTTTTCTGTCTCTATTCTTTCTTTCAGATACCATATGAATGACTACCGAATTTTCTGATCAGTCGACTATACTTCGATCATCTGTTAAATGACTGTCACAATAACTACCCAAAGAGGTAAGCGAAAGAAGGGAGGTGGTTGGCAACTTAGAGTAGTGAAAACAAATTTGGAAGCACATACATTCTTATTTTCCTGCAGCGTATATCTTACATAAAAAATATTTCAAGCAAAAGTTGTATCAGAGTAGATTCATTTATTACTATTCAGTTAGGACTACTTGTTCAGTACTAGATCTGTTAATCTAGAGAAGCAATGACCTCTAATTCAAACTTAATCCTTGCATCCATGAAGGCGGCAATTACACATGATCTAGCAGGTTTTTGAAGGAAGTGCTTTCCATATATCTTGTTCATCGTACTTGCATATTCCGCGTGTGAAATGAATGCCATAACTTTGAAGACTTTGTCCAATGAGGAACCCGAGGCTGCTAAAACTTTCTTGACATTTTCAATGGCTAGCTCACACTGATCTTCAAGCGACTCGGGGATATCACCCGTAGCATAGTTTTGCCCAACGATCCCAGAGGTAAAGACATGTCCATTACTGGTCCATGCAGGACCTAAAACTGGGTGCTCAACACCATCTATGGCAGACCATTCGAGTTTTGTAGCTGGCATTTTCCTTATATTGAGTACAAGTTATGAAAAAGAATTGACTTCTGAAGGAAATTATAAGCTTTCTTTTCTCCACGTCGGTTCTTAAGTCTTTAAATCAGTGGAATTGCTCCATCATCAATCATTGTCCCCAAAATGTCCTCTCCACTTAAACAATCAGTGCCCCCCGTCCGGGTGCATAATCTTATCAGTGAAATTTACCCCATAAAAAAATATTTTGATGATAGTTTGTATGATCACGAACGTAATACCCATCTAAATAACCCCATGATAAGCATGTTAGGGTAATATATATTCAGCCTGTTTTCTTATTGATATGCAACTGTAACAAATAATTCAGGCTATTATTAAAATTAAGACATCCAACATGAAAGAAGAAAAATCTGCTGCTACATCCATCTGCGTTTCGCCTCATAACTCTTCCTCGACTATGAACGAGCATGATGATGGCTTGGTCCAAATCACTTCTGCAAATGGGGATATTATCAACATAAATTCTGATTACATAGATCATAAACTCGAAAGAAGTATCTGTCGTAAGCTTGATCTCAGAATATTGCCGGTAACTGCTATTATGTACCTTTTTAATGCCTTAGATAAAGGTAACATCAGTAACGCCAAAACTGACGGAATTGCTACAGATTTGGGTATTGAAGGTCAACAATGGAATAATATGTTGTCCATTTTCTATGTCCCATTCGTTTTATTTGGATTCCCGCTCTCATTGGTCATAAAAAGGTACAATGCTGCTAACGTGATCCCAATATTGATGTTTACCTTTGGATCTATAACACTATTAGCAGTATCAGCTTTCAACTATGGCTCTCTTATGGCTGCAAGATGGTTTTTAGGTATGTGTGAGAGTGCTTTTTTTCCTGGTATCATCTACTACTTATCAACATTTTACCGTAGAGCAGAATTAGCAAGAAGGTTGGCTGTCTTCTACGCCGCTGCTAATATAGCCAACGCATTTTCGGGCTTATTATCATTCGGTGTTTTCCAGATAAACAATGATAAGCTCCAAGGCTGGCAAATACTATTTTTGATTGAAGGTAGTTGTACTGTTGTGTTTGCTGTACTTGCCTTTTTTGCTCTTCCAAGGTCAGTTGAAACTGCATCGTTTTTTTCAGAAGATGAAAGAAAATGTGCCATCCATCGTGTCAATACGGATTCTTCTGCAGCAAGTGGCGAATCAATATCCGTTAAAGATGCCGTTAAAGTTTTTTCACACCCTGTGGCAGTGGCCTGGATGTTTGTTGAAATCTGTATTGGGGTGCCATTGAATTCTATAAACAACTGGTTCCCTCAGATTGTTGGGGTATTGGGTAAATCAACAGTGCAAACTAACTTGTACACCGTTGCGCCTAACATTTGGGGAGCGGTTTCTCTTCTCATTCTTTCTTTTTCATCTGATTACCTTCGTATTAGATCATTATTCATCTGCATTGCAATTTTGTCAACTTTGATTGGGTTTGCAGTGTTTGGAGCAATTGATACTCAGAGTCATTTAGGTGCAGCATACTTTTCGTGCTTTTTAATGGTTACTGGGTCTTCAGCATCATCGGTATTAACATCTACGTGGTATAATAATAACACACCAAACCTGAATAGACGTGTGGTCATTAGTGCTGTGGGTATACCTCTTGCTAATGCTGCCGGGTTAATTTCAACCAATATTTTTAGAGCAAAGGATGCGCCAAAGTACGTGCCAGCCTTAGGAATCACTGCAGGTTTCGGTGGTTTGGCTATTGTTATTGTGATTTGTATCACATTGTTCATGATCTTTGATAATAGAAGAAGGAATAAAAAGCAGGGTGTTCTGTTGACCTATAGAGATGTGCCAACTTCTACCTTAGAAGATGGACCCTCAAATCCAAGTTACAGATGGATGTATTAAATAGTGAACAAATATATGAACTTAATATATAAATATAGCTAAAGAAGTCAAGAATTGTAGCTTTTGATGTAAGCTGAAGTATACTTATCAATATGAGATGTCATAGTAAAACCTATATTGCAAATTTGTTGAAACGTCGTGGTCAGTGAGAATGTCTCTACAAGTTTTTATTAGATTTGAGTAGGAAAATGGTAGTAATATTAACTATAAAATGCATTTCTAACTGCAGACGTAAGATCTTTCATTAAATCCTTTCCTTGTTGCAAGACATCATCCATTACCATGACAGTATGGGGCATACCCTTGTATACCACTAACTTAGTTGGAACACCGTTTTTTTGCAACTTGTCTGCATATAACTCTGCATCACTTCTCAACACATCGCATTGACCAGCCGCAATGAAAGCCGCAGGAAGACCTTCAAAGCTGTCATCTGGATAGAATAATGGACTTGATTCTGGGTTAGTCAAGTCTTCTCCACCGTTTGGTAAGTAGAGTTCTCTATACCATAGCATCTTCTCCGCTGGCAATTGGGGAGCGAATTCATTTTCCTTCCAGGATGGTAGCGTCTGGGGAGTAGCAGTGTTATCTGTCACAGGCACAACCATTGCCTGAAATTTAATGTTGGGATAATTCTGGGCTATTGGTGAACTGGCAAATTTATGACATATTATTGCAGTGAGGTTACCTCCAGCTGAGGAACCAGCAAGACAAATCTTGGAATTGTCGATTCCGAAATCAGGTCCACCCATTTCTGAAATGTACAACACGGATTCAAAAGCATCTTCTACGCACGCTGGAAATGGATCTTCGGGAGCTAATCGATAGTCAATACTAATAACAATGCACTTAGAAAGTTCAGCTATATGGGTGCAGAATGAATTTTCGGTCGAAATATTACCTAGAACCCACCCTCCTCCATGAAACCAAATTGTAACTGGCCAACCATTCTCGGGCTTATCGCCCTTTGGGGTAAATACTCTAGCTGGGATAGGTGGATCACTGGCTTTAGTGTATTTTCTTGGAATTTGTATATCCTGGGTCGATTTCATTTCCACCAATGAAGATTGACCTGGAAGAACATTTCCTCCCTTTCTAAGCGCATCTAAAGGCACTTTATGTGTATACAAAATTTCAGGTCTGCTAGAAAGACTAGAATTGAAAAACTTAATGTATTCGGGGTCGAGTTTATCTACCATTGACTTGTCAATTTGGAATGGCTGCTCGGGAATTTGGCCTGGCCAGGTAAAATCAGAATTCAACTTCATTACTGTAGTCTGTGAAAAGTCTGAAATAACTAAGTCCGAATTATAATTAGAAAAATGGGATTACAGTACTATTAAATAAATCACATCTACGACTTTGGCTGGACTTACTCGATTCAACAATGCAGAGCAAGGCAGATCGTTGGCAAACATGATAACGGCATTTTTATCCAAGCGTTCCGAAATACTACATGGCCCCCAAAACCCCCCAACCCCCCACCCCCCCACCCCCCCCCCCCGGGGGGGGGGGGGGGTGGGGTTTTT